CCATTATTGAACATTTTTGTGTGTGCTTGCAGTACAATTGAATTTTAAGCATGTGGGTGAGGACCCACAGACAGGCAGCCCAGTTCACATTGGGTTGCCCTGTAACATATATAGTGCGGTGAACCAACAAAGAATCAATCCAATTAAAAATCATTATCACACAATAAAATTGTCAAATGTAATTGTATCGCAACGCTTCAACAAAATTCCACAGCAGACTGAACACACAAGAAGTCAAAAGCCTCCTCACTGAGCCCAGCCACTTCAGTGTCAGGGCTGGCGCCAGTCTCTCTGGTCTCGAGGACACTGAGTCCCAGCAAAAAAAGCTGCTCTCTTCAGCTTGCCACTTCCAGCCTCCTTGCTGGCTCTCCAGGGAGTTCTGAGGCCCAGTCAACCTCAGCCCACCTCTCTCTGCATGTCCTGAAGCATTGGCCAAGCAGGCTACTCGACAGGTATTTATTATTGATAAGTGCTCCACAAAACAGTGTTGAATAAACAAATATAGGCCAGCAGCAGTATGTATGAACAGTATGAAAGGGACACAGTCCTTTCATCTTTAGAACAATTAAATAGGTCAAACAAGCTAATAAATGACGAGTAAAATAATAATAAAAAAAATGCTTCATCTACTGACCTTGTAAGAAAGTAAGGCGAAAAGGAAGCTGGATTATCCTGCTCTGAAAAGAGGGGCATAGAGCCCCCCATTATCCACAGCCGGAAGTACAGAATGACGGTCACCTTCAAAGGAAAGAAAATTCAGAAAGAAGATCATTGCTCCACTTTTTTGGACAACACTTCTAGAAGTTTTATAAATATGGTGCTTGGCAAACACTTGATAGTGAGCATTTCTATAACCCCAACATTCAAGATGGGGATAGGAAAGCTGAGTAGGGAAGAGGGTTGACTGGGTGGTGACTCAGGAGCGGCCGGCAAGACCTTACTGACAACTGTTAGTGTGCGGACCATCCAGTGGGCTCTCCACTTCACCCACGCCTCCTGCGGAATGGGGTGGGGTGCGGGGCAGAGTCCCACAGTGAGGAAACTGGAAGATGGAGGTGCTGAGCCTGTCATTGATTTCAATACCCCCATCTCTTCACCTGCACTCACAGGGCCCCACAGCTAGTGCTGCTGTGTCTAGAATTTTCTAGACCCTGAGTGCCCTGGAGCGGAACGCCCTTCAGGACAGTTCCAAGCACTGGCAGGAAACACCTTCCTGTCACTGTGGAATTTTTCTCTGAAAGGTGTCCCCCATCCCTAAGGAGGTCATGGGGGAGGAGCTTTGCTTTTAGGAGAGTCCAAATCGCATCCTCTTCCTGAAAAATGTTCCTATTGTAATAATTTCCATTTCAAGAGAATCAACTAGGTTAGGTTGTTTCAGGGTCAGAGAAAAAATGTTTGCTTGAGTAACAGCTAAATAATTCATTTCAGGAAGTTAAGGCTGAATTCTACCTCCCACCCACATTCAGGCATATCACTGAGTACTTTTCATGTTAGTACTTTTCATGTTAGTCACCTCAAACCCCAAAACCTAACATGGGTGGACTGTGTTAGCCAAACGCTTATCAACAGTAAATCAAGCCCAGGGAGCAAGTAAAGATCAACCTAATGAATATTCATGCCGCACTCTGCTCAAGCTGAGTTGATTCTTAAAGATACTGTAAGTGAAGAATGTCAACTACAAAGGTAGTTTATAGAATAGGAATTCTCTAAAACCCTGGAAGAGAAAAAAGCTGTGATAACTGCAACAGAGGGAACAGGCAGGTCAACAGCAGAAAGGGCTTTGAGAATAAATGTAAAAGTGAGCGACAGGACAGATATCTGACCACTTGTCACCAACACAATCAAATCACTCACATCCCCAAACAGTTCTGAGAAAATAAATGATACAACAAATATTGAATCATTCTGATTCTATGTAAAAATAGAGGGGGCTTCTCTAGAGAGGTGTTTGCCCCATTTGTTCAAATTGTCCAGTTGGGGGCTCTCTCCGCCTCATTCAGTGTTGGTCTATTTATCTTCATCCACACATGTGTTGCAGTGTTCAGGGGAACACTGCCTGCTAACATTACAACTGAAAAACGTTCTCATAAGTTTCCCACCAAAACTTATGACCGTGAAAGAGAAGCTACTAGAAGCAGCAGCAGAGACCAGTCTGAGGATATCTTAAGTGAAGCATCTCATGGAAGCGAGGGTCACAAACCCTCGTTTGTGAGATTGCCATCACGAGCCCCCGCCCCTCTGCAGGTGTGTTCAGTCCCCTAAGAAATGGAATCAGCTCCCCTCCCCTCCCCTCTGCGCTGGGCTTGGGACTTGCACCCACCCACAGAATGTGGTGCAGTGTGTCCCAGGCATGCCCCTTGGTGTTCCTGCCACGTGGGTTTGTGCTTCCTGAACCAGCTGCCCAGCTGTGAAGCTGCGTGGGCACTCTCCTGCTAGAGGCCCGGGGGCCCCAAGGACTCTGACTGCTGGGAGCGGTTGAGCCTGTATGCAGAGTCCCACAGATCAGGATGCTGTCCCCAGGGAAGCACAAAGGCAAACATGGGGGTGCTCCATGCCTACTGGGCGGTGATCCCTGACTGCCACAGGATGGTGCCCTGCTGAGCACCAGCCCTGGGAAGGGGCCGTGAACATGTCCAACTCCTCTCCCCTCCCTCTATATGTGCAGGGTGTGCGACACCAGGCTCTTGTGAGACCTACTGCTGACTCTACTCAGTTCATTCACCCAGGGCACTGAGCTGTGTCAGAGGGAAATGCCCCCACCAGCAACTCCGGAGGAATGTCCGTGCATACTTACGTAACTTATGACCAACACGGCCCTCTTTAGGAACGGCCTCATGGTAAGCAGGGCATTCCTGTCGCTGCTTGCAGTCAGACACCTGAAACAGGACAGACAGGTGGCATCAGAAGGCAGGGTCTCTTTCCAGAGGGACCCTAGAGTGCGTGAGAAAGGCCAAGGCCAGGGAGGGGGGCCTGGCTCTGCAGGGGGTGCACACTGCTCTGACTTTCCCCTGCAGGCCTCCCTGTCCTGGACTATACTGAGACTACCTAACCCTTGTCGCCTTCCCAAGGGGGTGGCAGGGCCTTTGCTTTCTCCAGGGCACCTCTTGAATGGTTCCCCTTTCTCTCCCAACCTGCCCAGTCTCAGCCAAGCTACTTAAGTTGCCACCTAAAGCCATGTGGGGAGAGACTCAGTCATACTGGGCGCCTGTGTCTGCAGGGAGTAGACATGCTATCACTGAACTTCTCTGTGGCTTTTTCTCTTATTAGTCTGTCTGGTGCTGCTTTGATTTTTTGCAGCCCAGAAGAACCCAGAGGGTTATGGGGTGATTCCTTTGCACCCCAAGAATAGGTCACAGTGATGTCCTTTCTAGAGGGGCAGGAACACCTGCTATAGCACATATCCCTGTACAAAGCAGAGGCCCCTACATCCACACACAGGTGAGCAAGAGGCAGTGGCTAAGGAGCCCCAAGGGGCAACTTAAAGGGGAGCCACTTTGACCTCCAAGCAGATTCCACATCTAAAGAACAGAGGGAGGGAGCGCAGCCTTCAAATCCCATAGCCCACCATGCTCTCAGTCCTTCGCCTTTCCCACTGCTTTCTTTGAACTCTTCTAGTCCACAGGAAGGCTGTCTCTTCCTTCCTGTTCCCTCCCCTGCTCCAGCCCTAAAGTGGTGCAAGTGACCAGGCCCAAAGTCCTCATATGGTCTGGGTGGAGGGAAGGAGGTGAGCCAACCAGGTCGAATAGGGTCGAATAGGTTAGCCAACCAACCACTGACACATAAATTACGGCCGAAGGAAACAGAGCAGCCTACAGGAAAAGTTGACAGAAAGAGCAGGAGCAGAAGGAACAGCAGTGACCGCTCCCCTGGGGCAGACCCTTCACAACGTGCAGTTCCCTATGAGAAGACTCGTGAACAGGAGCTTGGGGCACAGGGGCGTGTCCAACTGTGCAGGACAGGCAGTCATGGCAAAGCACATTTCTCAGGGTACCCAGAGTCAGCCCCTCACTCATGCTTCCTGACACCCTGCGCTGTCTGCTCTTTTTCCTGACCTCAAATTTTCCATGAACATCCACCTCCTCGGCCGATCACTTCATACATTGAGAGCTACAGGTGACTTCTTCCCAAAGCTCGCCCCTCTGTGGCCATGGGGCTGTCTCAGCTGAGATCAGAAAAACGCACAACACACCTCAGTCACCTGCTCACAGGCCTGGGCTTAACATGTGGACACGTTGAACTTTGCCAGCACAGAATTACAGTGTCAGTAGATAACTGATCACCATAAGATGACTGACATGCCTTAGAGAATCAAACAGAATGTTTAAAATATTCATCTCTCTCCGCTCAATTCCCTTGCCTTCCCTGTGTTTTCACAGATCAGGGCCAGGCAGGCATAAAACAAGGGTGCTCGAGACGTGCGCGGCAAGCTGGAGAAGAACCACTTGGATATTCCGGTTTGGCTCCCTTAAATCCTGCTGCTCTAAATTAAGATATTACGTGAGACTTTCTCATCCTCAGAATTCAGGAAAACTGCCTAAATTTTTGCCTTTCTAACCAGCAGCAACCATCTCAGATACAATGGTCTACTATTTCACACTGTACTGATCAATTATAAAAAACTACCTATGAAATTTCTTCTGGAACACTAATTATACTAATTTAATGTCTCAGCTCTTTCAAGGTAACAAAGGCCATGAATACAGTCAAAAGAATTTAAAATTCACAGCTTTGTAAAAATAGGAATCCAGCACTACTCTTTGACACACAAGAAAATAGATTTCTCAGTTGATCAAAGTAGCAGACAGCTCACTTTTAAAAAAGACGATAACCTTAACAAAAACGTACAAAGGAATGGAGGCGGGGGTGGGGTGGATTTACTCTGGAAAGGAAAGTATTCCCCTGAAACTGGCCCAGAGCCTCCCTGAACCTTGACATCCAAAGGCTTCCCAGGGAAGAAAGGTCTTTGATATTCAAATGAAGACTCGTGGGAGAGCCTGGCGCTTCTAGAAGCCCTGGATGCATTTCTTAGTCCTACCTACTAAGAAGCCAGAATAGACCTCCACTTGCCCATTCTGTGGTGTGCCAAGCTTTCCTTGATGAAATTTTAAACTCTTCACTCTGCAGGTTACTTAGAAAGATCTCCTTAGATTATCATCCCCAGAAAAATGGTGGAAATGAAGACAGACAGAACACCGGGGTCTAAACTTGGGTTCTGAAAACGGCTGGAACTGGAAGAAATCAAAGCAGCCCTGGCACTTTTACAGAAAAGAAAGTAAAGGACAGCTGGAAATGTGGTCACTTGCAGAAGGTCACAGCGTCTCAGTGTCAAAGGTCAGAAAGCTTAGGCTTCCTCAGCCTCGAGGTCTCATTTATATTCCTTTCCAGTGAATTTCATCAGAGGCTTCAACTTTTATTCCTTTCATGGGTTGTTATGGCAGTTTCCCAGAGAAATCAGAGGGCACTCTGAGAGGCGGGGAGAGACAGAGATTGACTTGTCACATTCAGGGCCCAGTGGGATCAGTCCCAAGAGGCTGAGCCCTGAATTACAGAAAGGTAACACAGGTTGTATGAGGAAGCTTGTCGTCCCATCATCACAGCCTAATAATTCCTTATTGCTTGGGAGGGGGTCAGGGTAGCCATAGCTACCTGTGGTCAAGCCGTGCATACTGCAGGAACTTCCTGCTCCAGCAAGCAGCAGAATCCAAGCAACAGACTCCCCCAAGCAGCAGGCCTGGGAAAGTAGCTGAACCTGAGCAGCAGACTGGGGAACTTCTCCTTTCAGTGCCATAGCAAAAAATGCAGCTTGGGGTGACCCTCCCTGGCAACGTCACTCCCTTGTCTGTCACTAACAGTCCCAGGTAGGTTAACAGGCCAATATAGGTATGCTAAGTCTGTGTCCTCATTGGGCTGAGCCCTGCACCTTTTTCATATCATTTCCTCCATCCTGTGAAGGAGGCAAAGGAGGAGGAGTTTTTGCAGCGCTGGCTGCCAGCGGGCTTCACCAGCAGCCTGGACTCCTGTGTCATTGCCTCTGGGGACCAGGCAGCCACCCTGCAGCCAGCCAGGGCCACTCCAGGGAGGGAAGCAGCCCGAACTCAGGTCAGGAACCTGGTCTCCAAAACAGAACTGACCAATGGGCCCGCCTTTCCAGCTGTCTCCCAACCTGCAAGGGCGGGCAAGAGGGCCTTGAGGATTCCTGCAGGCCCCTGACCCTGGAAAACGCCTGAAACCCACTTTCCTAGAGAAGCTTAATGGGGGGGAGGGTTTGGAGGAAGTGTGTTCAATTTTAATTTTACTTGCAATGCTATTTCTTCCTTTGAGGATCGATAGGTATGCCACTATTTTCTTTTCAATGTGGAATCTTTAAGGGCCCAACTCAAGGCAATTGGTTTTGTTTTTAAAATCTAATGGGCATCCACATGGAAAGTCGGGACCTCAGTGGTTACCCACGGAGAGCACATAACCGAGAAACTGTAACAGGGGGGTCCCCAGGAAAAGGGGAAGTTCCAGGTTCCCTGCCCCACCCAGAAAGAGGATGGAGCTGAGAAGAGAAAAGAAGAGAAAGAATCTGAAGAAAAGAAGGAAGCAGGGTGGAGAGCCAGAGACCTGAGGGAGCCACATGGAGCAGAGGGAGACATGTGCAGAAACTGTGCTTGTTTTTGGGCCCTGGACAGGTTGAAACAGATGTGCGTGGGCAGGTTCACTATGGCAGCGTTATCTTGATTTTGAATTTGCTCTTTTCCTCCCAGGATTGTCTGGCCATGTCTGACCCTTTCCTATGGGTCCCCGCCAGAAGGTGCTTTAGCCTTGTGGCAGCTTTCAGGTCTTGCTTCGGGCCAATCCCTTTTGAGCGGACTTTTGCCCACGAGTGGATGAGTAATTTCAAGTATTTGATTTAGAAATTATATTCTTTGTCTTCTTTTGTATAGTCACTGTATTAAAGTTCCTTTTCATTAAAGTCTTATATGTTTTATCTTGATGTGGCAGATGGCAGCACATATTTAGATCAGGCAGGTTTAGGGGTTCAAGAGTGCCCCTCTCTCCCTGCCCTGTAACAAAACCATCAGGAAATTCCTCAGGAAATTGTCAGAGTTTAAACGCTGCCAAGTGTCCATCAGTGTCGCCACAGGTAGGAGCCCCTAATAACTAAATATAGACCCCTTGTTTCCCCTCCAATGCATGCTTCTTTGGGTCAGCTTTTAAAACTTTCTCCTAATTTCAAACCTAAAAGGTACATTCTAAAAATAACATAAAAAGTTTACGAATGAGAGTGGCCTCTGTGAAGCTGGGTCTAAATGCTTTCAAAGCCCAAGAGCACAAAAGAAAAGAAACCTTCAACTTATCTCTTTAAAGCTTGTATTGACAGACCACAGAGCCTGGACCTTATCTGACACTGTCTAGAAAGTACAACAAATGACTCCAGCTGAGCTCCAAGGCCAGCTGCAGCCAGGCATCTAAGACCCGAGGGGGGCGGGAGCTCCTCAGAGGCAGGGCCACAGCAGGAATGTCAAGTTCAGTAATCTAAAGAGCAGCTTCTTTGTGCTTCTGTTGAGATGGCCTGTCCATTGTCAGCCAATAACTCCAGCCCAGGCCACACTTACTCACCCTAAAATTTCACCCCTGCATTCTCAATCCCACCCCCCAAACCAAGACAATCCCTTGTCCTACAGAGACAAGGGGTAGATCTGAATGCCTCTGCTGGTTGAGCTATGAGGAGCTTTCTCTCCCTCAAGGGCTGATGCTTCAACAATTTGGCCTCAACTGTGTCACCCACTGAGCCTGACTTTCTAGGTGTGGTCACAAAAGGAACTAGGAATTCTAGCCCTGTATATACTTTTATTTCACAAGTTTCTATTTTTCTTTTACTTATGTTTTG